TAACCCGCTATTCTGAAACGTCCCTTATTCCTTGTGGAATGGGGTTTACAGGGATGTCAGAATAGCGAGTCTGTTATATTTCGAAATAACGGTCTTGCTGTTAAGACGTGGGATAGTTTTTTGGGATATGCCAGTACCCCGAAATAGCGCTGTCAACATAGCTTAGAAAATGGTGAAACAAAACATCTGATTGTTTTTAGTTTAACATTTCCCAAAAGAACAATTCAGCAGAGCCGAGACAAAGTCACAGTATGTTTTCTGCATTTGCTACCAAGAACAGTGCTGTCTCCAGTTCCAAACTATACAATTGTTCTCTAAAGATCCAAACACTCGGGCTTTGGACTGTTCGTCCCACAGCAGAGAAGAAATTGCTCCCTAGTCTGGGATATGGTTCTGTTGTCTGCTGTACTGGAAATGAGCAAAGCTCGGAAAGCCTTTGCTTGATATTTTATATTTGTTTAGGGTTCAGTAAAATGAATGCTGACTGGAAGATACTCTCCGATGGACGGGGGCTTTGGCTTGGACCTGTCTACGAAGTGCAACGCATGGTGCTACCTACATACACCATAAAATGCAGGGGAAGTCACATGGAAAAAGCCAATTAAAAAGCTGCTCCCCTGGAAGATTCTCATGTGTACAAAACCAAGATTTACATAGCGGGTCCTGCTCTGAGAGAGGCTGCCTGGCAGCTGGCTTCCTTTTTCCTTTTGCTGACAACACGGTGAGGAAATCTTCACCACAGAACCACTCTCTGCCATAGAGAAGTCTGGTCCTTGACTAGCTGCTCACCTGTGTGCTTTCATAGCCGTAGTTAAAACTGCTCCTCTCCCTCTTATCTCCTCTTATCTCCTCCGGTACACCCTGTTTGCCCCAGGTGTCTTGTCCCCTGAGCAAGCTCCCCAATACCATGAGATGGGGGGAAGGCCTGATCTTTTTACTTTCCAGCAGATCTAGCTCCTTACAGCTTATAATACTGATGGCAGGTTGTTACGCTGCTGAGCTGTGAAGGAGCGCCACAACTCAATCGTGTGCAATCAAACCATAGAGAAGTCTCCGTGGTGGGGAAAGGTAAATTCTGAAGGGATCTACAGGACTCGTCCTGCAATTACAAGTGTTCTTTAGGCAGAAGATGACCTACATTTGTCCAATAACTTGTTAATTGTGAATTATTTACATGGTTCCAGTCTAGGCAGCTTGTGCCAGGAGCACAATATGAGTTTCTAAAGAAGGCAGATCAGTCACCTCCTTGTTAGAAGCTGCTTCTCTCTGATGACTCGGAAGGATCGGCAGCAGTCCATAGAGGGCCTGAGCCAGTACTTTGCTCTCTGTCCTTAATAACCTTAATTTTAAAAAATCAAGGGTAACACTTCATGAGAGTCACTCTCCCCCTAGAGTTGGCTTCAAGTATTTCCTCCACTGGATTTAGTGTGTAATTACACACCTCCATGTGGAAGTGTCAGTACTGGACAAGCCAGTAGAGTCGGAGATGCCAAAAGAATGTACTGATCCTGATCTCACAGCCATTTTACACTGGGGTAACTCCACCAACTTGAATGAGTTACCCCACATGAAAGAGGAGAAGAGAATAAGGCATAATGGCTTCCCTGAAGTGGGTTGTTATTGTGTCACCATCAAAGCACGAGGTAGAATGCTTTAGGCCTACCAGCTTCACAGCTTACCTTTCCCCAGCCAGGTGACTGGTCTCTGTCATTGGTGTCATGACCTTGTTTTATCCGCACATCATCAGGATGCCCAGCTGGGGCATGTTCATGCTGGGAGTGAGGGAAAGCAAGAGTGAGGCTAAACCACCTTCACAACAGCCTTGATCCCAGGGATCCAAGCATCTCCCAGGCTTGTGCAATCTCAGCTTTGTGGCTGATAGAGCAGTGCAAAGGGGGGGTAGGAGGAGGCCAAAGAGCAGGTACGAGATGGGGACGGAAGCGGCTCTTTTCTAAAGGCAAAGCATTGTAATGCCGTGTGTCAGCTCTGCTTTCATTCTGCTCTGCTCTTTTTAGTTACATATCACACATAACTACGATCAGCAGCAAAGCAGAATGCTGGTTAGCAGCAAAGGCCACATCTTTGAGAGCAGCGTAGGGGAGGAGTGGAGCCCCCTTAGCACCTGGAACTCAGACTACAGCACTCCCTTCCAGAGCAGCTGAGAGTGATCTGGAGCTGGCCTCCAGCCAGAACTCAGTGCACTGCTTTGAGCCTGGTCTTCGCACAGAAACAGCCACCACTGCCAAGAAAGTGGAGAGAGAAGCCCCCTCCCAACCTGCAAAATTGCAAGCTCCTGGGAGAAAGCAAAGTGGAAGAAATCTAGTCTCTTTGTGGAGCTCTTTCTTGCTTTAAATCTATGTCAGAGGTTTTCAGACACTATTGTGATAAGCACCAGAGAGGAAGATAGATAGATAATTCCTACGTCTTCTATACAGGCAGTCCCCGAGTTACGCGGATCCGACTTATGTCGGATCCGCAGTTACGAACGGCCCCCTTCCTCTCCCTGGTCTCCAGCAGACCAGGGAGAGGAAGCAAAGCGGCGGAACACGCGTCTGGGCTGTCAGCTGGCCCTCCGCTCTGCTCCCCCTCTCCCTCCCTCTGGTCTGCAGAGCAGAGCAGAGCGGCGGAACACGCGGCCAGCTGACAGCCCAGACGCGTGCTCCGCTCTGCTCCCCCTCCCCCGGTCTGCAGACCAGGGGGAGGGGGAGCAGAGCAGAGCAGAGCGGCGGAACACGCGGGCCCCACTTGCTATTAGTTTTAATATATTTATGACGTTTTTTTATAAATTGGAATAATATTTATACTGGTGATATTTGTATATATTGTGATAATTTATTTAATATACTTTCTTACTGAAATAAAGGTGAATGGGAAAAGATTCATTTTTGCAGATCAATATTCATTTTAGCAATAAAGATAGACATAGATCTAAGAAATGTGGAGCAGAATTTGGCCTCTTTTAGAAAGCCAGGCCCCAGATTATTGCTTTATAAAACAAAACACAGTCAACTACCCCATAGAAAGGAAAAACACGCCGTGAGAGTCTGTAATTCTTGAACTGAACAAAAAGTCATGAAGTGGCCTAGTTGATATTACTTTTATATTTAATTCCTGAGTAATTCCACTTTGTATGTTACTAGTGTAGCCTGACTTACTCTAGAGCTATAAAAATATATACTGTACTTATGCTTAGTGCTCTTCAGCAATCGATCCCAAAACATTTTAATTGTCCTATTGAATAAGGATGTTAAATATCAGTTAATTGAATAGTTGAGTAACCTCATGAATTCTTATCGGTTACTCGACTACAGGCAGTCCCCGGGTTACATACAAGATAGGGACTGTAGGTTTGTTCTTAAGTTGAATCTGTAAGTCAGAACTGGTGTCCAGATTCAGCCACTGTTGAAACTGATCAGTTTCAGCAGTGGCTGAATCTGGACGCCAGTTCCGACTTACATACAGATTCAACTTAAGAACAAACCTACAGTCCCTATCTTGTACGTAACCTGGGGACTGCCTGTACTGCTTTCACCCAGACATCTCAAAGCACTTTACAATGAAGGCCACTATGGTTATCTGTGTTTCTTACAGAAGGGGAAACCAAGGCACAGGGAAGTACAGTGGCTTGCCAAGACCATCTAGCAGGCCAGTGGTAGAATTTGGAATGGAACTTGGGTGTCCCAGTCCAGTACTCTACCCACCAGCCCAAACCTCTTTGGGTGAACAGATTTGCGGAATGCCCATAGTTTGATAAGTTTGCATCTCCCATCACATAGCTGGCAGAAAGTTCCCTGTTCTGAGACAAACTGGAGACGTAAGTGAATGGAAGCTTGATTTATGGAGGGAATATATTTTCTATTATAGCTCTGTTCAGGATCACTTATTTTTCTTCAGACCATTCTCTTCGTTGGGGATACTGGACGATTTTTATTTTAAGTTATAAATCTGACTCGGTTCAAAATGAAAAGTGGACCCTCCATCTTTCAGCCCTCGTCATGTGGAATCAAACCACATGTCAAAAGGGAAGTCAGTCAGGGGAATGGAAATTTTGTACTTCGATCAAATGTGTCAACTTTTCTTATTGCAATTACAAGTATAAATCACCACTTTGTCTTCCAGGCCCTGAACAGCTTTGCCCTTGATAGGTATGTCTGGGCTCTTGTTTAAACTTGCCGCCTCTCCCATCCTCATTCCCCGCTGCATCCTTTGTCCTCCCCTACTACTATGGCTTTGCATTTTCTTTTGTGTCACTCTTTGTGCTCAGAATGACTTCCCACTTTCCAGGCACCAAGAGTCGTCCCTCCTACCTCCAAACCCATTCCACTTGCTAAGCATCCTACGCTGGCTTCCTGTGCCAGTAATATCCCCTCTGCCTGTACCTTTATGCTGGCCAATCTATTCATCTCAAGGCCAGATTCTCATATCTGTATTTATGGTGAATGCCACCACTGAAAGCAATGGCATTACCTTATGGACAACAGTACCTGGCTTAGAGTAAGGGAGAGCTGGTGAGTATCCACAGATTCCATTATTGTCAGCTCCAATGAAATGACCAGTAGTTGTGGGTACTCAGCACTTCCCAGGATCAGGCCCCCTTGACTGTCAAGACAAAATGTTCAAAAGCATCTAAGCGACTTAGCAGAAAATTATGACTTTTTCATATGTAACTTAGGCACTTAGAAGCCTAACAGTGAAATTTTCAAAAGCATAATTGGTTACTAGGTACCTAACTCTCACTGAAAGCTAATGAGACTTAGGTTCCCAAGAGCCTAAATCTCTTTGGAAAATAAGATCAAGGCTTCTAATCACTTCAGTGCTTTTGAGAATCTTACCCTAAGTCCTGTAGCTCAGACTGTGATTTTAAATCACTTTGTCCACTTATGGTGTGATTTAGTTTGCAAAGAGCAATATACAGGACGTCTAAGCAGTTAAAGAAAGACTTTTCTTAGCTTAGATCTGAAATACAACACAGTGGATGTTAACAGTTCAGTTAGGTTCTATACAATATGTTTTATTTCATGCTGTGACTAAAGAAGAGACTCAAAAGTGGTTTAAATACTTTATCCAAGACAAATAATAATTAAAGAAAAACCCTCTGCCTTGCTGTGCTCCACATATGCCAATTCCATGGTCTTCACATGTAGAAATCATGCCATTTTCCTTGCCCTGTTAAACTCAAACTGTCCCACAACTGGCATGATGCAGAAAAGTCATTCCCACTTGAAAACATGAGGTTAGCTGTACTGTAAGAAAGGAGATAGTAAGAGTGTGGGGAAAATCAGAGCCTCATTATCTGCTGACCTTGGAAAAAGGAAAATACCAAACTGTGTTTTAGGATTTGGTGGTGGCAACTTCACCGAAGATATGTACACGTGACACATTGTTTCAAGATGAGAAGTGGAACAAAGGATCCTTGAATTGTTTGGCAGAGTTCAGTAATAACAAATATATCAAGTGAAACTGGAAATGGCCAATTTCTGCCTCTCTCAGTATTAGCTGGAGTTGATTGAAGGCATCAATCAAAAATGTTACTCTACATCTGAAAAATATCTTCAGCACATTGGAAAGCACTTTGATGGGAAATGGACCAATGCAGTTTCTCCAGTTACTCTGTACCGTTTGAGCATAATCCTGGCCCATAGTTTACCTCTTGGGAGCATATTTGTTCTTACATTGTATAAGCAACCCAGTAGATAACATTGACTGCTGCAAAGGCTGCTGGAAACACTGCCCTGGCATAAATATCGATGGTGTCTGCATCAATGGGCTTAAAGAGGGACTTCAAGCCACGCTTTTTCTCTTGATTAGATTCTTGATGCTTCTTTGTCTCTCCAGTTTCAACTGCCACAGAGCCATATGATCCAGGTAGACTTTTGGGAGCTCGGTGCTGCCGGTTAGAAATGGCCAGCTCCTGGTTCACGCCAGCAACAGAAAGGGAAAACAAAACAATGGCGTTCTTCACATTGACCTGCAAACAAAAGAGAAGAACCTCTGATGACAATCTGCATGAGAAGAGAGTCAGAATACTGAATCAGAGCTAGCCAGGTGGCCTAATGGTCTGATAGGCAGGAGATCCAAAATGGTGAACAGTACTTTGTTCCAAAGCTAGCAATGGCCGAGGGAACTGTGAATGGCTCTGTTCTGCCACGCAGGAAACCCAGGGTAAATTCTGGTTATAATTTTACATTCCATGAGCTATTGCAGGGGCTTGTGGCACCGGAGAGGCAGCATGCTTGATGGTGGGCTAATCACAAGTGGTATTGGTCAGCTCCAAAGGGACTGCGTGGGCTACCCAGCTGAAAGGATAACTGATTGGCCTGAAACAGGATGGGTTCTGTAAGGCGGCGGATGTTCCTGGGTACGTTTCTGTAAAGAGCGCAGAACAATCGTATCTGCTAGCAGCTTAGCAAGATTAATTAATAACAATAAAATCATCATAATACAAAAATCAAGTCCAGGGATTCACATCCCCCTGTCGATTTGTGGGGAGGAAATTTGCAAACTGTGGATTGTCAAACACATTTTACCCTAATCGATTCATTCTGCCTATCAGGCACGTAAAGAGCATGAAGGGAACAAATGAGCTATCTAGAATTATGAATTCCAGCAAGGAATTTCAAGTGAGCAATTGCTTTGTGCTTGCAGCCTGATGCAGAGGTCTCCTTTGGAACACAAGCTGTATGCCAGGGACTGTCTAGAATCCACGGAACACAGTGAAGAATATGCATCTCCATGGGACAACAATGAAGGCGATGGGCCTGGTTCTCAGGATTGCTGTGGCCTTTTATGGTCCTTTTGCAAGTCAAAGGGTCCATAAACAAAAGCTACCGGAAAATACTCTGAGGGCACGGGGCCTCCCTGGCTGGTGGAGAACTGGCATAAGGGCTCTACACTGGCCCTGCTCCTAGCTTGGGCTGGGTGGCATATTGGGACTATTTGAACAGAGCACCTTGAAGTTGCTCTAATCTACATCAAGGGCTGGACATGTCCCCAAAGGTCCTCTCCATCTCCAGGATACAAGCAACACGAATGTGGCTTCAAAGCCCCTTTGTGTCTCTATTCTCCCATCCTGGCCCAAGCATGCAACAGAGGAACAATCAGGCCCAGCTGCATGTGACATGGTGAGGATTGGTTACTGGCTCTGTATCCTGCTAATTGTCCTTAGCTGGCTTTGACTTGTACCGCCAACAGGCATCAATCAGCCTGGTGGCATTCAGGGCTAAGCACTCACATGGGGGGGGGGGGGGGCTCGCGGGGGGGGGCGGCT